AAATAAAGGTTAGGGGTCATATCCAATTCAACTGCAAAAAGTTATGACAAGTTGTTTAAGGAGTTGCACAAATGCTCTTTTTATATCTCTATGCATTTGTATAAATGAATCTGAAACAGTGAATAGCACCTTCTAGTAGGTTTGTTTTTAGAAACAGAGTTCAAATGCCCACTTTTAGTCTAGAAAAGAACAACATGAAGGACACTCTATTTCTCACAGCATTTTTAAAAATTTCTGCTTGATGCAGTGATGCACAACATGCAACTTTCTAATTGCTGCTACATTTTCAATTTCTGCCTACCTAATAGTGGGAGATGCTGGGTGATGAAGAATGACATGTTATGTATTCGGGTGGCTAAGTATTTGCCTTTTTATTGTAAATTGCCTTGATATGTTTTATGCGAAGTAGAACAGTATTTATATAAGGAAATTAAACTAAGAAATACTGCTTCTATCTCATATGAACCTTATTTTCTACTGGAAATGTATTTATTTTATTTCTCTGATATTCTGCCTTTCCTCCAGGAACTCAGGGGGTGTACGTAAACAAGAGAGTGAGTGAGTGAGTGAGAGAGAGAGAGAGAGAGAGAGAGAGAGAGAGAGAGAGAGAGAGAGAGAGAGAGAGAGAGAGAGAGAGAGAGAGAGAATAGCCCAAAGGTACCCAATATGTTTCTTGAAGGTGGATATCAAGCTGGGTATCCCAAGTCCACACCTTAACAAAATGTGATACTGGCTCTCAATACTGTCTTGGATCCTGCACTTGTTTTTTGCCAGTTCTGAAATAATTCTGGCTAAAAACAGATAACACTACATAGTATCTTAACATAGTTAATTCCCTCCTCAGTTCCTGAGTCTTCAACGCAGAATGAAAAGCTTCAGTTCAGATCCAACCAATAGTGGACTTAGTAGGCATTGAGTCCAGTGATTGGGATATTCACAAGGAAACACTACTGTAGCTGTTGAGACTGGGTGGTTCTCTCACTACCAGCTTCTATAGATGTTTGCAAGACATGAGTGTGACTTTGGCAGATTCACCTATGGCAGGGGTATCAAACTGGCAGCCCATGGTCCGATGTGTCATGTGCAGGCCACGCCCACCCTGGCTCCACAAAGGCAAAAAATATCACAATACATCACATTACGTGATCAAGTTTGATACACCATTTAGTAATGAAACAAGCAACAGCTTAAGAGGAGGACAAAGCCCAGTCAATGACTTGATATTTCATGATACTGGGTAGTACATGGTCTATTGTGAAAAAAATGAATATTTATCAGAATTAAAAAAGAATAGTGTACTTCTACTCATTGTGTTATATGGAAATAGGTATTGAATATATGTGATGAAACATAAACTGAAGGGGATGGTAAAACCAAAAAAAGGGCAAAGAATGGATTGGTGCTGATTGCACGTAGACTGAGTACAATGCAAGTGAACAGAATACAATAAATATATTTAGATTTTTTGGTCATAAAAAGAAAATGAATGAAAATTAAATCCCAAAATGTATCTACAAAGGAACAGTGAATGAACTGAGAGGAATGGAACAACCAAGGAAGTTATGGTTGAAAGGGGTTGATGACATCCTTAAAAAAAGAGAGGAAAAAAAGTTTAAAGAAGAAAAGGTAATATAGTATATGAAACCCCAAAGATGCCTTTTCACACAGCAATTGGATTTTCTTGTTTTTCATTTCTCATCCAAGAAGCTTCTTCAGCTCTGACTGGATGGTAAGGAATTGAAGGATTTTTATACTTCTTGCAGACAGCTGGTCATTTGCATTCTTATAGAGAATCGTTGGGGTTTATCTGTGTGTAAGAGTCACCTGAGTAGTGCAAATGAGTGTGGAGCCGCCTTTGAACTGTTGAAAGGGCTGTGTTGTCCAAAAAGTAGACTTTGCTGTCTTTGAAAGAGTGGCCTTTTTCTTTATCTTTTTTCTTTTTCTGCATTTCATCTTGCCTTTAGATTAAGGGGGGGGGGATATTACTTTCAAAAGGGTTAAATGGAGAATTGAAACCTCTTCGATTCAGCTGAAGACTGTGGGATCCTGAATCCTTGTCAAGGACACCAGAACCAGCGTGGATTTGAAGCAGGCAGTTCCTATAACAAAGTGAACTTGTTGATATGAAATACGTAAGACATTGGGGGTTTGGCTGGGAAAATTATTGTTTAGGTCTATGAATTGGTGTTGGAACCTCAGAGTTAGCTTTGCTTCAACAAAACCTTGCAGTGTATTCAATAAACAGTAAGATTTTCAGAAATGGAATGAACCTGGAGTTTTATTTGGATTCTCAAGCTGGATGTTGACAGATGGATTGTAAGAAAGGTATGGAGTGGTCTAGTGAAGAATATTACTGTAAATTAGTTTTAGATTATTTCTTATCTTTTCCTTTCTTTTAATCTTTATCACTGATGTCTGATGCTATGGCATTCATGTAGTTTTCCTTCAGAGGCTACAAGCACATAGGCATCAGTTACCTTCCTAGATGGTAAAGTATCCTAGATGCACAAATTTCACTATGCGCATTTATGATGCTGTTTGCATAATCTGCTATTTTCAAATGAGTTGAATCAGACGCCACCCAAAAAAGCCCTCTCTCACTTGTGCAAGGGAAATCCAACTTAATGCACTGTCAATAAAGACCTGAGGTATATTATCAGAGAAGAGAATAGAGAAGGGGTCAGAGAAGGTCTCAGACAAAGTGGGAGGGAGCTGGGTCACAGCCGCATGACAGAGCGTATCGCCTTGGTCTGCCTGTGGGATTCTCCTCAGATGAAGTCACAATTACCACACTGAATATTAACATGCTGGGAAAGCCTTCTGTAGAACCCTCATCTGACTAAGAATGAGAACACAGGGAGGAAAGGCAACTAATTTACAGTTACTCTGACTTAACCTGTGATCAAAACTCCATTAGAGGCTTACATTTAATAACATTTAAAGTAAAAATTACTTTATTTGAAGTAGTTTACAAAATATGCCCAGTGAGTAATGTATGTACTTTACTCCAACAAAGATAATAATGTGGTTGCTAATTATACTCTGTCTGCATACTGAAAGCTAGAGGTAACTGTGCAGCTTAATACACACACACACACACACACACACACACACACACACTCATTCTTAGATGCCAGGGTTTTGTTTTGTTTTTAAGAAAAATATCCCCCTCCTTCATCATCCCACATTGTCTTTCTAGGGGTAAAACAACAGTCCTCTGTGAAAACATATATTCCATGCTCTTCTCAAGATCGTGGCAAATATTATTGGAGAAACTTCTACTTTATCATAAGGAATAGTATATGGCATTTCATTTACCTCCTGATGTGTAATATTTAAGCTTCATATTTGGACAGAGCTAAGTCAAATAAGGGGAATTAAAATTATTTTAGGTAGATAGGCCTGTTCAATTAGCCTGCCACAGACACATGCTGGTGGTGCAGTGGTTAAATGTAGTATTGCAGGCAAACTCTCTGCCTGCAGCCTGGAGTTCGATCCTGATGGAGCTCAAGGTTGACTCAGCTTTCCATCTTTCCAAAGTCGATAAAATGATCAAAATTGTTGGGGGCAATATGCTGACATCATAAACCACCCAGAGAGTGCTGTAAAGCACTATGGAGAGGTATGTAAGTCTATGTGCTATTGCTACTGCTAAATGCTGGACTGTCTCCAGTTCCAGAAAAAGCTTAGAGTTTTCCCTAAGTATCTGGTGGGCAGCTTGGCCTTGGTTGCACCCTGGAAAGGATGCATGTCTGAGATCTTGGACTGGATTACTCCTATGCGCCCTCTCTGTGCCAATCCTGGGTTCACAATGGTTTTCTGGCTCCAAGAAAAAGGCAAAAAAGTGAACCCAACCAGAGTAAGAGCCCATTTTCAGGCCTCGTGGTTACAAGGTTGGTGAAACATTGCTATTTCTCCACCTCAGTGCATATTCTGATGGCTACCCTGTGACCCTGTTTAGAGTGATCCATTTGCTACTGTTTAAGGTGACCAGGAGAGGCATAGGCCACAAGACCACTTATAGAGCCACAGTGAGAAATGTTCACACTATCTGGCAGATAGTCACTTACATTCACTTGGAGATGGACTCTGGCAGACAATCAAATTAATTTGATTAATAAAACAATTAAGCCCAATTGTATAAATGAATGTTATTTGGAAATGTACAAATTATATCTAATTGGGACATTACTCAATGCGTAGTTGAATGTGTAGATATGCAGTGTGAAGCTTGACCTACTGAAATTCTCAGTTGTTGGGCAGCTCTCATCTGTGCTCATGGCTGTACTTTGGGGAGCACTAATACATATTGCAATAGTTCTTATAAATCAGAGTGTTTTCAGGCCATTTTTCTTTGGATGCAATTTATGAATGAAAACAATAAGGTCAATTCAGGCTGCTTTTTCAGAACCGGAGCAGCAGATCATCTCTAGCCAGTGCTTGTGATACACAGACTTCGCATTTCACTGCTTGTTTTTCGTATAGATCCATTTATAAATGTCCAAAGTGTGATACAAGTACACACATAAGAACACACGTACACACACATACACGTGTCACGCACACGTGTGGCAGTGGAAAATCCCTTTCCACGAAGTCGTCGGTAAGGACCGTCAACTTTACTACACCGAAGACGGTTCGAGACAGTTGAGACTAAACACAATCCTCAGATCGTAAGCTTGGTGCTTCCTATCATCTCCCTGAGTTCAAAGAGCCCTTAGTTGCTTGTCTTTGTCAAAAACCCTGTAGGAGATCTTTTATGTCGAAGATGTAGGATTTCTCCCCATGACTTTGATTATTTATTCATTCCACTTCTCTGGTGTACTCTAGGGCTGCTATCACTAAGACCCCTTGTCTGCCTCGCACTTGCTCTAAAATGCATGGAGCTTTACTGCCTTTGAAACTATGGGTTTAAAAAAATAAAATAAGATACGGTGAAGAAGTGTGCTCTTTTTTTTTGAAGTTCTTTTTCTTTTCTTTTTTTCTTTTTCCATCCACAGTTCCACAGCACATTTTTCCAGCCTTCCATTCTCCTTTGCCAATTGACATGCGTCACCAAGAAGGAAGATACCATTATGAACCTCACTCCCTTCACGCCATTCATGGGTAAGTCTTGCAAGTTCCCTTTCATAGCATAGCCTTTCTTGCATTTTATGATGTAGAGAAGAAATACATCTGTTACGGCTGCCTTTCCCCTTTCCCGTTAGAAAGGTTAAAGGGGTTTCTCAAAAGCCTTTGGCTGAACTTCTGGAGCACATGGGAGCTATACTGTAAGATAACATCTCTAATGGGCAAATAAGGGGAAGGCTGTGCTAGTGTAGCAAGTAAGGCATTTTTATTCAGTGACCAACTCATTGTATTCCTGGCTTCGCCAAAATCTTTTACTATTTCCTCTGTATATATTTCCTAACCTGAATGTCCCTGAGATTTGGAAACATTACATTACATAAATCAAAGTGATGTGCATTTTTATATATAAGCTGTCATTCCACTGTAAATAATTCCATTGCTGGTCATCTGTGTGATCGTTAGATGGGAGATCACATCATTGTGTCTATGAGTGCATTGATTCAGAATCCAGCATTCTAAGGATATACAGTCGTCTTTTCAAAAAGCAAGTTTCTAGTCCTTTCTATTGGAGATGTGAATATAGATAATATTGGGTTGACTCAGTGGCTGGGGCTAGGCTATTGTCACAGGAATGTCAGTTTTTTTTTTAATCTGCTTGTTCTTTCTAGTAATGAGCGTAAATTGAATAAATTACACGAATACTCAAATCTCTGCAAATAAACCCATGTGGTCTAGTGAATTTAAGAGTTCAGTGTTTGATGACCGCATCAGTGCCATTCACTGCAATCAATAACATAAATCTGGAAGCAAGAAGCAACGGAATTTGTGGGATAATAATCTAAAACATGGATTATTAGGGGCTATTTTGAGTTGAAACAAGTGTTCCCTCTGCTAATACATCAACATGCTGCAATTATATATTCCCACATTATGCCTCTGGAAAAATGAATTCTGTGGCTTTCAGAATTGTGCACAGAAAGTACATTGCATATTTAATTTTCCCCTGAATGGTCTATGCTGTGGGTATAGAAGTATTGATCATTTAAACACTATTTTGCAAACTTCACTCTGTATTGCCAAGGCAAGTAGAGTGATGAGGAAGTACACAGGCAATAAGGGCTCAGACACTGGAAATATTTGTCTTTCTGTCTTTGAGATTTTAGCCAATTTTGCTTTCAAGAATTGCTTTTGAAACCATACAGTCCACAAAACTTAACAACAGCAACCAACAATTGAGATTCTCAATTATCTGAGCATGTGCCTAGCATCGTATTGTAGCCCCTTTTTCTGTACGGCACAATATGTTTGCCATGTAGACGAACTTGTTTGTTCTTTCTGCTCTAGTCAACTCTGGATTAGAACCCACCATTCATCAATATTGCAAACCTTCGGTGTCTCACAGGCACACCGACTTTCCAAAGAATTTGTATTTCTGAGTCTTTCTCACCGGCAAGTGATAGAGAAGGATTTGCTGTAAAGCATCACAAGACTTTGGGGAGAGGGGGGGAAAAAAGTCTCTCGAGAGAGGCATCAAGGGGCTCCTTAGCTGTTTCCAAATCTTGTAGCAATCGGAGTGGGGGGGGGGAAAGAACCCTCTTTTCATCACAGCATAATGAAGAGCTGCGCAGCTGAGGGGGTTTTCCTCCCCCTTCTGGAATGTTGTTTCCGGATATTCCCCCTTTTTTTGAGAAGAGGAACTGCTGTGAGGATGAAGGCAGTCTGAAGGCCTGACAGCTGGGCAATTTCATGCAATGAGGAGCTGCGGAGGTCTTTGAAAAGGGTACTAACTGCTTCATTGTTGCACGGAAATACCAGGCACAGAGCCTGGGACAGAATGTGCTTCTCTAGCTGTTCAGAGTATCCCTCGGTGGGTTTATCACAGCCTTAGCAAGCTTGTTGATTGCTGCAGCAAAACATCCCATCGTTCTGAGGGAGACCATTAATAAAACCTCAGCAGTATTATTGCATGTGAGACAGCAGAGAGAATACTATATAAACCTTTAGTTTTGTGAAGGAAAAGGGGTACCCAGTATTGGGGAGTGTTTATTTCTTTACAAATAAAGCATCTAGCAGTTTCTAGTTTTGAGGCTTATTGAGATGTAATTTAAAGTGCTTCTAGACCAGGGGTAGGCAACCTTGGCTCTTTTATGACTCATGGACTTCAACTCCCAGAATTCCTGAGCCAGCCACGCTGAGGGAAAAGGGAGAGGTTTCCAAGCTGAGCCAAGCTGGCTCAGGAATTCTGGGAGTCATAAAAGAGCCAAGGTTGCCTACCCCTGTTCTAGACTAAAAACTGCTAGATGCTTTATTTGTATAGAAACAAACATTCTCCAATATTGGGTCACGAAACCTCTATGGAGTTCATTGGGATTTCCCTGGAAACAGGCTTGCCTCTGAGTCCTTATTCATTCTGAAAATTCTTCTGGATGTGAAGAGTGAACAGAATGGAGCCATCCAGAGTATCTAGGTAAATTCTGCAAATCCCATGCACGTGAATAAAAACAAGTCTCTTGTTTTTAAACCTCTAGGAAAAAAAATACCATTCATTAAACAAAGAATTACAAATCAGAAATTAGTAAGATGTGCAACAGAGGCAGGTTTTTGCCGTTTTTAATGTTTTAATGTGCTTAGTTTTATAGTTTTAATAAATTTTTGTAAATTGGGAGCTGCCCAGAGTTAGTTATAAAATGGGCAGCTTTATAAATGTTTTAAATAAATAAACTAACATTGTCGGTATTGCTCTTACACTGAAATAAATGCTGAGGATCTCTAATAGCCTTGTTTTTGGTATTGTTGTTCTTTCTTTACTACTCATTTATCCCAACAATTCAGAGGGTTCACTGATTAATTTTATTAGGTGGGAATCTAGTTAATCCATGAACCACTGAGACCAGTTGTCCTCAAATACACCATAAATCACCCAGTAGTCTATTACATATTATCTTATTAAGCAGAAACTCTCTTTAGCGATCTATTTAATTAGTAATAGATGTGCTACTAATTTTCAGCCTCTAAACACTCAATGCCCCACAAGAGTAGTTGCACCCGTTGCTAATAACTGGTTTGATTAAAAAGATGAAGACACCAACATAGGCCAGCTCACCTAGTAGAATTCCTCTCCCTGATTGAAATGCATATGTTTAACCAGATTTATTATTTAGACATGAAGTTGCAGCCACATAAAATAAAATGTTGTTTTTAACTGTTTCAAAAAGTGACATCAACATTTTCAGTTTACTTTGGTACTAGAAGGCCCATAGCAAGAAGCTGTTGGAAATGAGAGGCCTTTTCTGTCTCCTTGGCAGAAAATGTAGTGTGGAAATCAGAGAGGATGGCTTTCATTGATTCCAGACTGAAAACAACTTAAGAACAGGCTTGTATGTGTGCTAATAGAAGAACCTGGCCAAGAATGAGCTGGAATGCACCCCGTAGATGCAAACTGATAGGACATCAGGTCAGGAATAGAAATAGGACCCTGGAAGAATTCTATCATGGGTCTTCTGACTAGAGAAAATAAGAAATAGGGGAGACATGATAGCAGTTTTCCAGTTTTGAGAGGCTGCCACAAAGAAGAGGGGGCCAGGTTGTTCACCAAAGCACCAGAGGGAAGGATGAGAAACAATGGTTGGAAACTGATCAAAGAGAGAAGCAACCTGGAATTAAGGAGAAACTTCCTGACAATGAGGACAATCAACCAGTGGAACAGCTTGCCTTCAGAAATCGTGGGCGCTCCATCACTGGAGGTTTTTAAGAGGAGACTGGACAGTCACTTGTCTGAGATGGTATAGATTCCCCTGCTTGAGCTGGGGGCTGGACTACTGATTGAGTTGGATTCAGAAACAGAATTGGTTAAGGATTGTATGATAAAATGGGCGCAAAATATACAAGAACCAATTTTATTGGACACATGGGAGATAATTTGGGTTAGAAATGTAAAATTTACTCAAGCTCAAAACCTAAGGGAAAATGTTTATAAAATGTTTTATAGGTGGCATCTGGATCCTCAAAAATTGTCTTGTATGTATCCCAATTTACAACCTAAGTGTTGGAGATATGGAAATCTAGATGCAACTTATTTTCATATTTAGTGGACATGTAGGGAAGTTAAAGCATTTTGGATTAAGATATGGTGGAATATTCAAAATATTTTTAAGAAAAAGATAAAGTTTAAGCTGCAGATATTTTTGTTGGGTATTATGGAAGACTTGGATGCAAAAGAAATGGAATTGATGTTGAACTTTATAACTGCTGCAAGACTACTAGTAGCTCAATATTGGAAAACGGAANTTTTAGAGTATTATTGTTGTATAAAGGTTAGAATAGTTTACTTAGTACTATTTTTAATTATTAAAGTGATGTTATTATTATTGTTTTTAATAACTGTATATTTGTTTAAAAGAGAGTTAAAGGAGGTTATAGATATGTTATTTTAATAGTTGATTAATGTTAGTTAGAGTATGATTATTTTATTGTTAACCCTGTGATTTGCACTGGGAAGTGAGGGGGGAGGGAGGGGGGAGTGGAAGGGTGGGTTGGGGAAGGGGGGATTTATATTGTAAAATTTTATAAAATTTTCAATTAAAAAAAAAGAAATCGTGGGCGCTCCATCACTGGAGGTTTTTAAGAGGAGACTGGACAGTCACTTGTCTGAGATGGTATAGGTTCCCCTGCTTGAGTGGGGGGCTGGACTAGAAGACCTCCAAGGTCCCTTCCAGCTATATTCTATTCTATTCTATTCTATTCTATTCTATTCTGCTCCAGATGAATCCACAGTAAGAGGAGCACCAGCAAAATGAATTTGATTGACTTTCTTCTTCTCCTAAAAAAATTCTGTGGAGAGAGAGCCCTGGGCAGCTGGATTTGTTTCATTAAGTGAATTAGATGGCTGGGACCTCTTTTGTCTTTTAAAATAACATGCATTTTCAGTAGTTTGAGGTTCATTACCTAGACTTTTCACATTCTGCCAGTATGACTATGCAACCCTATCTTGTTTCACAAGATACAAGTTGTGAAGAAGTTTAACCCCTAAATGATCTCTCTCTTTGAATTTTTATTTTAAAAAAAACATTTTTTATTTTTTATTTTATTTTTATTTTAAGATAATTAAATCTTTTATTTATTTTATTATTTTACAATGTATAATTTTAAAAAATAAAAATATTTTGGTTTTGAATATTTTATTTAAATAAATAAATAAATTTAATAAATAAATAAAGATATTTCGATTCAGAACAACTACTTTATTCTGCTCCACAAAGGAGGCAGTAAATTACTTAAGAGAATAGTTCTTTCCATTGAAGTTTCTCTCGCTTTATTTTATTATATTTTATCATTTTATTAAAAAAAACATTTAAGTTTGCTACATGGCAGTTATATTTATTTTGTCATTGGAACTGTGGGCCAATCATATTAGGCAATTGAAGGCCATTCTGGGTATAAAATTAGAAGTGTGGTAGAACATTTTCAGATGAACATATTTTATTTAATGGCACAAGCCTTTGTGAATTGAAACTCACTTCATGAGTTATTTATGCCATTTAATAGAAAGCTGGTACCAGGTTGTTTCTGATTTTTGGCTATCATAAACTAACATGGCTCTTCTGTTATCTGGCCATAAAAGTGACTAAATGCAGCCTGTTGTTATGCTGATGATACAGTACCAACCTGGAATAATTCTTGTTAAAAAAAAGGTCTTTATTTGTAAATATTTGAAATTAATATTGATATTAAAGATGATTAATCTCAGTGAGTTTAGGAGTATAGATAATGGTTGGAAAAACAAATATCAGTTCAAGTAATACATGTACCTAAAGGGATTCCTTTGTAAAGGAAAGACCTTTCAGGGTATTTTAACTTTACACTCTATGGCAGTGATGGCGAACCTTTTAGAGACCGAGTGCCCAAACTGCAACCCAAAACCCACTTATGCATTGTCGGGTGCCGGGTGGGCGTGGCCCATTGGGTGGCCGTGGCTGCGGTGGTAACAGCAGACTGGGACTAAAAAGTTCAATCAATCAATTCCAACTTTGCAAGCGGCAACTTTTTTTTCCCGCTAGAAGTTGAAATTGACTGATTGATTGAACCTTTTTTTGTGTGTGTACACGGCGGCGGAGGCCTAAAGCAAAAAGGTTTTATAAAACCCAGCTGAAGGCCTAGGACTGGGGCAACGGCGCACGTGCCCACAGAGAGGGCTCTGAGTGCCGCCTCTGACACCCGTGCCATAGGTTCGCCACCACTGCTCTATGGAATCAAAATTGGACTGGCCTAGAATTCTTATTCCCATATGGCTGAAAGCCATGCTCATGGAAAGCCCCAAGATAGGTTGGTTATCATTGATGGATTTTATTTTATTTATATTCCCACTTTCCTTCAGGAGCTCAAGATAGGATATATATTGCTTTTTCATCCCATTTCCCCCCTCAATATCAATCCTGTGGAATAGGTTGGGCTGAGAGGGAAGGGGGAGAGAGAGAGCATGGGAGGGAGGGAGGGAGGGAGGGAGGGAGGGAGAGAGAGAGAGAGAGAGAGAGAGAGAGAGAGAGAGAGAGAGAGAGAGAGAGAGAGAGACTAGCTCAACACAGTAAGCTTTTATTGATGAGGATGGGCTTGAACCTTGATCTTCCAGGTGTGAGTCCAACACCTTCACTATTATATCATGCTGGCTCAGAACATCACTGAAGTTGAAATCAGGATCATCAAGATATGGGAAGAATAGACTATCTTTCTAATTTTGGTTTATTTCATAAATTTAACTTGTATACTGTTGCCGGACTGATTGCATATCATTTCAGTAGATACTTTCTTACTACAAAAAGGTCTACAGAAGACATTGTCATTGGTTGATGGAAAATGGAAAACTGAGTCCTGTTTCAGAATTCTGAAGGTTATTTCAGAAACGATAGGCATATAGACGCAATTACCACTATACTTGTTGGCAATCCTGTGTTAAACCTGTGAAGCCTTCAAAGTATACCAAAGGTCGTAAGAAGAAGTTCAATCGTAAGCAAAGAATTAATAGAAAACCTGGGTTTTAAGTACAAAACTGACATTTCATCAAATGTATTTGGCTAAATTCTCTGTAGGTCTCTGGTTGTATGTGCAATATTCATAAGTGTTGGTTTAGGAATAATCATGCAAAAAAGCTAGTATTCAATGGTGCTATATATTAGGAAATATTTCTGAGTGAATCATTTCAGTATTCGTATTATGTCATTACAACCATAATAATTAAAACATATATATATAAAAAAGGAATTTTGTTTCCAAACTGCTTCATACTTTCCCTATGGGAAACCAAGATAGTCTTATATTCTAAAGAAAAATGAAGTCACGAAGCTTGGGCTTTATGATTAATATGATCAGAGCTTGAAATAGGCTTTCCCAATTCATCATGACCATATTCTAGCTGTCGACTTCCTTGCCTGTTCCAAATGTATCTAATTACACGAACACTGCGCCG